GTGTGTGTGTGTGTGTGTGTGTGTGTGTGTATAATTTTATTTACTTTTTTAGACAGGGTCTCACTCTTTAGCACAGGCTGGCCTTGAAGTCACTATGTAGCCGAGGCTGGCCTCAAACTTGAGGCAATTCTTCTGCCTCAGCCTCCAAAGTGCTAGGATTTCAGTAGTGTGCTACCATGCCTGGCAATATCCCTGTAATTGTATTGCTTTGAATCTTTTGTACACTATTAAAGTTTTCCTTTGAGATAGATTCCTAAGTAAGACTTCCATTTTAATGATGCATAATCTTTTCAGGAATATAATAAGGAAGAATTTATAAATTCACTAATATGTGTAACGAAACTCAGTTGATGACTCTAATCATGCCCTCTCATCTCAGAATAGCAGTTATATTAGGTCTCATCTACTTATTCTACTTCCATTTTTCTAACTCCATATTGTAACTGTTTTTGTTGCTGCCAGTGTAGTAGAGGAATACCATAGCAGATACTTAGGCATCTCGGCCCAGCTCCACCAGGAGTATGAGAACTGTTGTGCTGTCCCCTGTCCAGAGTACACAGTGATACCCTCTGTGGTAAACAGTCTAGTTAGAGACTATCGTACATTTTATCATTTCTTCAATTTCTTTGTTCTTAGTGGTAGAAGGGGTATCACTTAGCTACAGAGAGAATCAAAGAACCATTAATCATAAGTGCAATATTATGAATTACTTTCTGGGCCAGGAGTCATGGCTTTTTTCCCTACAATTAAGAAAGTCTATTTATTTATATGGGCCATTTTAAGCTTCAACCTTGGGGCAGGGGGAGGGAAGAAAAGAAAGACTATCAAAGAAGTGGGAGGAGAACATGACAAAGGCTTTTGTTAGGTCTTTTGTAGCTAAGTCCAAACATTTATATCTAGCATAGTCTGTGCTTTATCATGACTTTCATTTTTTGTTGTTTTGTTTTTTTCTTTTTTAGGAAACAAACAGGCTTGTCCATTGTGCCCTAAGGAAAAATTCAGAGCTTGTAACAGTCATAAGCTTCATCGGCACCTTCAGAATTTACACTGGAAAGTCTCAGTAGAATTTGAAGGTTAGTATTTTTGTGCTTACTAAAAAGTTATATGTATGAAATTCAACATTTGTTTCCAGTTTTGAAATTTTATTATGAAGCATAATCAAACATTTTCAGTTTTAAATTTTGAGAAATAAAATGTCCCACTTTTAATGTATTTAATAAAAGACCATATAATTCTAAAGGCAATAGATACATATGACACAAGTTTAGTTTACAACCAGGCATGGTGCACGTACCTGTGATCCCAGGACTCTGGAAGGCTAAGGCAGAAAGAACACAAACTTGAGACCAGTCAGGGCAACTTAGGGGCTTAGCAAGACCTGTCTCAAAATAAAAAGTTTTAAAAGGCTAAGAATGTGACTCAGTGCAAAGGCTCTGGATTCAGTCTCTAGTACCAGAAAAAAATAAAATAATTTCCTAAGCACCTGTTCTATACTGGGTACTCTTAGAAATCTATGTTGCTTATTGAACAATATTTTAATAAGTTACACATTTAGCCAGGCATGATGATGCATGCCTGTAATACCAGCACTCAGGAGACTGAAGCAGGAGGATCACTGCAAGTTCAACCTGGGCTATGTAATGAGTTCAAGGCCAGTCTGAACTACATAGTGAGATCCTGTCTCAAAAAACATAAATAAATAAAATGAATTAAACATTTCCTTTGTAGTAGAATAACTTCTATTTTACACATATTTTTTAAGGCAAGGTAAATGTAATAAAGCAAGAAAATAAAATAATTGGTATGAATATTAAAAAAAAGCAGATAGCTTTCTGCTTGACAGCTTAAAAAACTACTCTTGTTAAAAAAGTGTTCAGAAAGATGATGGGATATAAGATAAATATTCAGAAATCATAGTCTTTTTCTAGTCTAGATAATGGAAATTAGAAAAAAATTATAATGACAAAATGCAATTTGGGGAAATTAACAAGAGGACACATAAGGAAAAGAATAAAGTTGAAGGACAAACAAATGAGATTTTATCAAAACACTTCCTAGATTCTGAGATAGTGAATTATTACAGCATTTTTGGAAAAATCTGGCACCAATTTAAAATTTAAAACAGAGATCATTCCATCAGGCAGTTTTTCTCCTGTGAGTGCTATAGAAGTAAAAGAATCAGTAGGCAAGGATAGATGTACAAGGGTATCCATTGTACTGTGTACTTTGTGACAAAAAATTGGAATTAAAAAGGATGAAATATAATGCTGCTGTTGAGAAAATATGTTCTGTATATGCTGGGGCTAAATTGGAAATATTTTCATAGAAAACTACTAATGAAAATAGCAATTGCATAGGGAAGATTTCATAATATTCCATTTGAATAAAACCAAAAATGTCTCCCAAAACCCCAAAATATCAATCAAACATGTATATAATTTTAATTGAATATTATCATGTGATACAGAAATTATTAAATAATGGTTGTGGGACACTTCATCCAAACTCAGTGGTGCCTCCACCTACCTTGCAAGCTCAAGGTCCCAAGTTTGATCCCCGTACCAAAAAAAAAAAAGAAAACATAGTGATGCCCCTGTGTAACCCCAGCACTTGGGAGACTGAGAGAGGAATATTAGGAGTTCAAAGTCAGTCTGAGTTACACAGTACATGTAAGGCCAACTTGAACTACATAGTAAGATTCTGTCTCTAAACATGGGGTGGGCCAAGCAGCCTGCTGGCCATAGGTTGGATATACCTGCTAGGTTATATGAACTGGGGTTTCAGGGAGAGGTTGGGGCTAGAGGTATACATTTGGCAGTTGTCAGAGTACAGTAGTACTTAGCCATAAGACTAAATGAGATAACCATAAGTGTACTTTTTGATTAAAAAAAGGCAGTCACACTGTGTTCTGGGATACTTCATATACAAGAGAAATGACTGGATATACGGTATAAGAAGAAATGAGTAGCGCAAGGTCCTGAGTACAATCCCCAGTACCCAAAAAAGAAAAGAGTGATGACCCAGAAGTTAGATGCTATCTTGAGTTGGAGAGACTCAGTCATTATCATTTATCAAAAAAAAAAAAATAGACCTGGGGGATGTAGCTCAGTGGTATCATGCCTGCCTGGCAAGTGCAAGGTCCTGAGTTCAATCCCCAACACAAAAAAAAGGAGACCTGGTTCAAGAGGAATTGATAAGGGCTAGAGATGTAGCTTAGTGGTAAAGCGTTTGCAAGCAAGAGCAAGACCCTACATTCAGTCTCCAGCACTGTAAAAAGAAAAGCAGGTAAGGGATTGATTAAACTTAATTAGTTCTGATGTGTAGCTTTTGAGATTCTAGCCAGGTTAATCATTCATAGATGCTTAATAGGCACTTGGAAATTGGGATCTCAGGGATAATTTATCAATTCATCACCTATAGTTTGGGATTCTTTTCCAGTATTCTTTCCAAATCTTTTGGGGATTCCAAAAAATGAAATTTTTTCCATGGAAAAAATGCACATAGCTGACTCAGACTAAAGAATATCTACATTTTAGGGCATGAGAGTCAGAAAAAGATCTGTAAAGAACATAAAAGATGGGAAGAGAAGCTTAGTATGATTATACCTATACTGAGTATTCAGGAGGCTGAGGCAGGAAGACCATGAATTGGAGGCTACCCTGGGCTATATAGCAAGACCATGTCTCAAAAAAAGGAAGTGAAGCAAAATAGTGTCATGTTATACATGAAGAAAAGACTGTACAGTAACAAATATAGGATGAAGCAAAGATGAAGCCTAGGGGTTAAAGTGGCAAACTATATGGTAAAACTGAGTGCAAGCAGGTTTGATAGTGAATGCCTATGAACCCAGCAACTAGGAAGGCTGAGCAGATAGATCATAATTCAAGGTTAGTCTGGGCAACTTAGCAAGAGCCTGTCTCAAAATAAAAATGAAAGGGTCTGAAGATATAGCCCAGTCCAAGAGCACTTGCATAAAACAACTAATCTAAGATAAAAGACGCAAGAACATCAGAATTCAAACCTAGATCGCTTGTATTTGTTTATATATATTTCATGTATAAACTAAAGCATCACTTAAATATTTATGACATTACAAGTATAAAGTTAACCCAATTCTTAGAAAATAAAATTTGTTTATATTAATATTAGTTGAAAATTCAATGACAGCCAGCCATTCTTCATTCTAGGTTACAGAATGTGCATCTGTCACTTACCGTGTCGACCAGTAAAACCAAACATTATTGGAGAACAGGTAATCAGATATTAGATTTATTTAAATTTTATCTTCTTTAAAGAAAGCACAATTTTTAGTTGCTTGATCTTAGCCAAAAGGCTAAGAAGTGATTCCTGATTTAAAACTAAAATGTGCATATTCAGGAGTGCGGTTTATTTTAAAATTCTGTATCTGAGTGCTTTCAGGGGGTCATAATAGGAAAAATATGAAAAATGTACAGTATAAGCTTTATACTTAACTAACCAGGTTTCTCCTTTCATGGTAATATCGTTTTATATTTTTGTTAAGTAAATAAACCTTTGGATGTGAAAAAGAAATAAAACTAATAAAATAAGGGGGAAATATGAAATGTATAAAAATTATATTGAACTTATTTTATAGTTTTTAATTTTAATTAAATTTTGTGTTCAAAATGAAAACATTTAGTAATTTTGAAATGGGGAATTTAAATAAGAGTAATTTTAAATGAATTTATATATCACAAACATGTACTAATAAATAAGCAATAAGCATACTTTTGTAATCCCAGCTACTTAGGAGGCTGAGGCAAAAGGATCACAAGTTCAAGGCCAGCCTGGGCAACTTAGCAAGACCTTGTCTCCAAATAAAATTTTAAAAAGGGCTGTGGCTGTACCTTGGTGGTAGAGTGCTTGTCTGGCATTGTGAGGCCCTGTGTTCAATTTCAAGTAATGCAAAAAAAATTGAAAACGTAAAAAAGAAAATAAATTTTGATCATGAAATAGGATATCCAGATTTCTCTGAGTTAGTAATATCATTGTATGTTTCAATTTCACATTCATTTGCCCATGTTCTTCCTTTTAAACTTAATTGACAGAATCAAACTTTCAGAAATCTTAATAACTTTACATGTAGATGTGTTTATTTTTGGGATAGAGTTGACCAAAGGGAAGTACAAACTATAAAATGTTTTAGTGACATGCTTCTGAATGCATTTTATCTTGATAAATCCTCATTTAAAATTTTTCTTTTAGGGCACTGAAAACAATAAAGTGATGAGAAGAAAGGATTATTGAGCTGAAAGTGTAATTTAGTTATAAGAGTACTTGCCTAACATGCATGAAGCTCTAGGTTTGATACCCAGCATAACAAAAGAAAATAGCCTTAAGCAGTAGTAACTGCACTGCCCAGCCCATCAACCCAAACCAAAGTTAATTTTAATATAATAACCATAGAAACCATTTGTAATATTCTTGATCATTCTGTACTTTCTGTAAAGTCGCAAGTAAATAGGAGGTAGCAGCAATAAGTAAAAGGCATTAAAACTAGTAAAAAGATAAGGTAATAGTTTTATTCTCAGCTAAATGAGAAATAAGTAATATTTTTTTCTTGGAAAAATAGTCTTATTATTACACCCTTGACATTTAGTAGGATGCTAGAGCTGGCTCAGATTTTCAGAAGTCTTATGAGCTGGTAGTTAAATATGGCCATCCTTAAATATTAAATCATCTAAAATTAAAAAATAAGTTAAAAATAATTAAAAAATAAAAGGTATATTCAAAATTCACCATTTCAAATTACTACATTTTACTATTATCTGTGCCATTATGGTTATTTTATATCTGTTTATATCTGCACATTGTCATTGTTCTGTAATGATGCAATAATTGCACATCTCTGTTCAATCTCACATTCCCTAATTTTAAATTGGTAGTTTGAAATCTATCACAATTGCAGCTTTAAACTGACCTTCATAAAGTATTTCTACCACAGAAATCTGAAAATACCACAATTGAGGACTTTAGTGTCCTAGAAAGCCAGTTAAGCATTTATCAGCACACTGTTGCCAACATCATATCTTTTATAATGCAGCCTATAGAAAATGCAGTAGTTTGAGTTCGATCCCTGGTACCAAAAAAAAAAAAAAGAAAAAGAAAATGCACTAGTTATTTACTGAGTAGAATGAATGGAAAAATTAGGCTACAATTTTGTAACCTATTATAAAATTTAAAATCATATGTAAATGCTGAAGATTTGGTGCCACTGCCTGCCTTGCAAGCACAAGGTCCCGAGTTTGATCCCTGGTACAAAAAAGCTAAAATCATATTTTAAAAAGTTCACATTCTTTCAGAGTCACATGGCAAAATTAACATTCTCTTCTATACCATTATATTCCAGAAACATTACCATATTTGCAACTTGAAACTTCTACTTGATGTCTTAGTAACTAATTTAAATACTCTGTTCCATAGATAGCCAGTAAAATGGGCGCCCATTATCATTGTATCATTTGTTCAGCAACAATCACCAGAAGAACTGATATGCTAGGACATGTTAGGCGCCATGTGAATAAAGGAGAGACTAAATCCAGTTATACTGCTGGTAAGTTGAGCAATTTCATTAACATATTATTAAGTAGATCCTTAAAAAAATTGCCTTGCAAGCTCAGGGTCCTGAGTTCAATCCCCAGAACCACCCCCCCAAAAAATAGACCAGTTATACTTTTTTACACAATTGGCAGATAAAATACAGTGGTTTAAATATTTCAATTGATTACTGATACATCACTTCATATTTATTTTTTGTGACTTTCTTAATAACCTTTAATATATATAATATAAATAATTTAATATAATAAAATAGATATATTTAGTAAATGATATAAAAAATATAGGCACTCAAGAAAATACAGGTATATGAAAGATTATAGAATTATATTCCTAATGATAGCTTTTATACCAACAACTGTCTTATATTTATTGCTGGAAACACTGAAAAGAAAACGCAGAGTGAAATAAAGACCTGTATCCTAAGTCATAGAAAATCATTAATAACTATGTGGCCTTTCTCAAGAATTACATTAATCCTACTGGGCATGGTGTTGCACACTTGCCTGTGTTCTCAGCACTCAGGAGGCTAAAGCAGGAGGATCATCTAGAGCTGGAGGCCAACCTGAACTACATAGTGAGACCCTGTCTCCAAAAAAAAAAAAAAAAAAAAAATTATTTTAAACCCTCTGGCCTAAAGCATGCATGGTATATAATAAACTTCTATTTGTTTTTGTTTTTTGGTACCAGGGATCACACTCGGGTCCCTGCGCTTGCAAAGCATGCGCTGGAACCACTGAGCTAAATCCCAGGCCCTTATAATAAACTTCTGTACAATAAAATTAAATAAACTTCTGTATACCTAGAATGGTATATCCTTAAGAATTTCTTTAAAAAGTTACTGAAGTGACTTTTTTTTTCTTTCTTTCTCTTTTTTTTTTTGGTACCGGGGATCGAACTCTGGTCCTTGCACTTGTGAGGCAGGCAGCAGAACCACTGAGCTAAATCCCCAGCTGAAATAATTTTCTATAGTTTGCTTTCTTCATAGAACCTTGTTCGAAAAAGGCTTATTGGGCCTATTCAGTGGGTGTTAGCAGATTATGTAACACTAAGAAGGATTACTATGGTTTGGCATTGTGATTGCCATTTAGTTAACATGTTATTGTAATATTATCAAGAAATAAAAAAAAAAGAGAGAGAGTAGAGAGAGAAGTTCAGGGCCAGGGCTGTAGCTCAGTGGTGCTGCCCCAGCCTGGAAAGCTCAAGGTCCTGAGTTTAATCCCCGGTACAAAAAACAAACAAACAAAAAAATGCTCAAACAAAGCATCTCGATTCTTTTTCCCCATGTATTATATATTTTTACTTCTTGAATATTCATGACATATGCACATCAGTATTTTGAGTTGATAGCCTAATGTATATTTGAGTGTAATTTGTGGTTTAAAATTATGAGCATATTCAGGAAACAGTGATTCTTAACTCCACTATGATGGATAATGGAATGCAACCAGAGCTATTCATACTCATTTCCTAATAATTATACCACTATAAAATATATTTTCCGTCAACCTATACAAACATCATGTAGTGTTTGATGAGTCATAAATGTATTTTAGGATCCTGTGCTATTATCTTAAGTGATTGTTCTTAGGTGTATCATAATACAAATATATTGATGTGCAATATTACACTTTTTAAACTTTCACTTACGACTGGGTGTAGTAACATACACCTATAATTCCAGCACTTGGGAAGCTGTGGCAGGAGGATTACCATGAATTGAGGTCAGCCTGCCAGCCTGGGTTACATAGTAAGTTCAAGGCCAGCCTGAACTACAAAGGGAGACCTTAGGTCAAAAAAAAAAGAAGAAAAACAATCATACTTTCATTTACCAAATTCTTACCTTAATATAACTCTTTTCATTTACCAAATTATTTCCTTAATATAACTCTTTTCCAGACACAGTAATGAATAAATAAACTTTTTAACCTGCCCAACTGTTTGCATTAACACAAAAGAATAATAATTGCTGTATTATTTAAATGCAAACTTTTAGATGTTTAGAATGTTTTTCTCTGAAATTTTTTTTTTTCATTTTAGCTTCTACTGCTAAACCGTCTAATGAAATTTTGAAAGAGGCAGACACAGATGTACAAGTTTGTCCTAACTATTCCATACCTCAGAAAACAGATTCCTTTTTTAATCCCAAAATGAAACTAAATCGGTAAGATAATTGAAAATAGGGTTATAGGATGTTTCAAACCATTACAAGTGTACATTGTATTAGCTTCTGTGTTCCAATATATTAAAATTTAAAACTACATGTAGAATGAAATTCATCTATTTTAACGTTTTCTCAGAATGATTGTTTTTTTCTGCCAAGCCAATTTATTTGTCAGAGAGTAAAATAGGCCTAACTTTATATAATTACTGAATAGGCCTGTCCTTTTGTAGGCAAATTGTATTAACAAGTAAATGAGTGAATGTTTATTAAATTCAATCCAGTTAGATTGTTTTATTTCACAAACTTTTAGGTCTTATACTATTAAATTGGGATTGTTTTTTTTAGATTTCAAAATAGTTTGTACTGTAGTTAGGGAACCCTTATTCTCACTTTTCTTAAATGAAATAAAACCTACACTGCTGAAGCCATTTTACAGTAAAATTATTTCAGACTATTACCTCCTTTTAGACAGCTAATATTCTGTACATTGGCTGCTTTGGCTGAGGAACGAAAGCCTTTGGAATGTCTAGATGCCTTTGGAGCCACTGGTAAGTAAAGAAGCTTGTTTGAAATCCCATTTTGTTTATCAGATTTGTACAGTATCTTAGGAAATTAAATTGATGGCATACCTAGCAAAATATTCTGATGTAAAGATCCAAACTTTAACTTTTTATTGTGAAAAATTTTTCAATATTTTAAGGGTATAAGAAATTCTTGTGTATCCATCACTCCAAAAATAATCAACTCATGCTCAGTCTTGTTTTATCTGTAACCCCGTGCCACATACCACATACCTTTATTCAGTGATGGTGAACCTTTTAGAGATCAAGTGCCCAAATTATAATCCAAAACTCACTTATTTGTCACAAAGTACCAACACTGCAATTAAACCTGAATGTTAAGGTTTTAATTTAGAAAAAAGAACTCATACACTTGGCTTGAGGGCCATAGGTTGGCTACCACTGCCCTAGTCCCAAAATCCCCACATTTTTAAATAAATCATGGACATTTCATTTCATGTAAATATTTAAATCAGATGCCTAAAAGATTTAGACATTTTAAAAATAGAACCTTAAGCCAGTCTCATGGCATGCCTGTAATCCCAGCACTCCGGGAGTCTGAGTCAAGATAGTTCCACGTTCAAACCCAACCTGGGAAACTTAGTGACCCTATCTCAAAATGAAAAATAAAAGGCTGGGGGTGTAGGTTAGTGTGAAGGCCCTTGGAATCAATTCCTAGCACTGAGAAGGAAAAAAAGCCCTGCAATACCATCATCACACCTAAAAAGATTACAAATAATGATTTAAAATGTTCAGTCATTTCATTTTAAAGAATTCAAATTAGAATCCAAAAACTATTGTCCTAATCTGTGTTTGCTTCTGTCATTATGAGTGTATATGGGAGGGGGTATTATTTGTTTTTGTTTTTGTTTTTGTTTTTGTACGGGGGATTGAATTTGGTCCTTGCACTTAGAAGGCAGGTCACCGAACTGCTGAGCTAAATCCCCGGCCCTAGGACGGTATTATTTGTTGACATAAGTCTTTTGACCTTTAGAGTTTCTTCTATCAAGGTTTTTACTGTATTGCTGTAGCTCGTAATGACATTTTTCTGTCTTCTACATTTTGAAAATTTTTAGTTGGATCAGGTCTAGTTAGGAATTGTTTTTCAGGAATACTTGGCATCTGATGAGTCTTTCTGTATCGTGATGATTTAGAACAGTTTTCCCAAAAAAAATTTTTATACTAAAAATAATAGAAACAGAAGAGAATTTCTAAAAAGCCAATTTACCCAGTGCAAATCTTTCTTCATAAATATAGGATCGTACTCTTGAGAGGCTTTTATCAAAACATGATAAGTTGTTCTTTCCAATCTCTCCTAGAGAAAAGCAGTGGTTAAAAGCATGAACTATGAGCTGTTCTGCCTGGGTTCAATTCCCCACTTTATGGCAGGCTACTTATATGACCACAGGAAATTATACCTCAGTTCACTCATGTATAGAAAAGAGGGGACAATAATGCCCAACTTACAATAATGAAGATTTAAGTAACCTGGGTACAAGTCCCAACTTCCTGTCATGCTCTATGACCACGGGATATTTACCTCAGTTTGCTTATCAGTTAGAAAGGGAGTCAGGGGAAGGTTAGATATCTAACCTTTAAAAGTTAAATGTTATCTAACCTTCAGCCATCTTAAAATAGTGAAGATTTAAGTAAATACAGTAAAAGTCACTAGAAGAGTACCTGATAAGTAGCAAATGCTGTAAAATTATTAGGTGTCATCTGTATTGTATGATTATTATTGCTGCTACTATCAACATCATTACTATCTCAAAGCTAATATGGAAAAAATCATAAATTGATAGCTTCTAAGTCATATCATCTGGGTCAGTTGGAGGTAGAATTTGAATCATTTTAAATTGTTTTTCCCTTCACCATCCCATCAGTTCAGCCACCAGGTGTTTTTGTTTTTGTTTTGGGTAATACAACTCCATACTTTTCTATTCCATATCCACTAACTTAATGATGTGGTGACAATCCTCCTGAGGTAGTCTCTAATTGATACTTTTATTTCAAGTTTGTCTCTTCTCTCCAACTGGTCTGGCATGCTCCAGCCATTCCTCTGCAATAGTACATTGATAGCATTACTGCTCAATCATGCACCTTTATTGCCTGAAGTCTAAACGATTTAATTTCCTCCATAATCTCATCCCAGCCTGGATATTAAATTTAATTTGGAATTTTCCAAATTTCCCAGTGTTTTCCCTAACACAACTTTTTAAAATTCTTTTTGTTATACCTGAAATCATTAGAGCTAAAATATAAGAAATATCTTTTCAACCTTTTAAATGTACTTTTGTGAGTTTGTCTCAGTTTTGTAGCAGTGATTTTATTTTGCATGTTTGCCATCCCTAAAATTAGAATGTTAGCGCTCACCTCACAGGTTTATTGTGAGAATATTAAAAAAAAGTACAGTCCTTAATACATAGCAGTTAGGTATTTTTCCATTTATGAGACACATGGAGATGGTCAGTACTTCTATGTTGGAACTTTTCTTATCCATTTTGGCTGGGCTTATATTACCATCTCCAGTTATCCAGTGTCCCTTATTTATGACTAATCCAGTAGACATAGGAAGACTGTGAGAAGGAGCATTCTTGGTCTTAATTCTTCTTGATCATTTGCTTAAATTACACAGCTCTTTTTAATTCCGAAATGATGCTTCTGTTCAATATTTGAAAAATGTTCTACAAATGTTATTCTTCATACTTTGGTACATGAGGATAAACTTTCGCAAAGAGGACTTCCAACTTCCCATCCTCCCTTTAAGCATTGGCCCCACCTTTACTGACGTTATTTATATTATATACTGGATTTTTGGGGGGGCTTGTTTTTTTTTTTTTGTTTGGTTCGGTACCAGGGATTGAATTTAGGACCTTGTGCTTGCAAGGCAGGTGCATTGTCACTCAGCTAACTCCCTGGCAAGAGTTTTTCTTTTAAAATTACATTTGAAAAACTATTCCATAAGAAAAAGGTAGCCAGCAACCTAGTCTACAAAAATAAAAAACATATATAGAGATTTTGAGGATCATAAACTTTTATAAGAAGTATTAATAAAAATCTTGGGCTCGGGATTTAGCTCAGTGGCACAGTGCCTGCCTCTCAAGTGCAAGGTCCTGAGTTCAATCCCCAATACTCACCCCCCCAAAAAAAAAATCTTTCAGGCACATTTTTTGATAACTGTGTTTAGAAACTTTGTAGTGAGAGAGTAGAATAGTTATAGCCAGGTGTGGTTGTACACACCTATACTTCCAGCATCATGGGAGCCGCCTGAAGCAGGAGAATCATAAATTGAAGCCCAATCTGGTATCTTCAGTTTTTTTTTTTTCCTTTGTAGTTTAATATAGCAACACATATCACAAAAGAGAAAATGTTTTAAAAAGGGCTGGGGACATACCTCAGTGTGAAAGCTCTGGGTTCAATCCCCGATACTTCTGAATTAACGAATGAGATTTTGAAGGAATTTTATTTACTGAAGTATATCTTAGCTGGACGTAGTGGCACACACTTGCAGTTCCAGCACTTGGGAAGCAGAGGCAGGAGTATTGCTGTGAGTTCAGGGCAAGCTTGGGCTACATAGTGAATTCAAGGCCTGCGTGAGTTATGTAGCGAGCCCCTTTCCCAAAAAAAGAAACCAAATTTTTTATTTAAAAAATAGTTTATTTTTATTACACTATTTTTAGTCTTTATTTCAGTTTTAAAACATTATCTTCCTTATTTCTCCCAAGGTATAATGGGATTGCAGTGGGCAAAACATCTTGGAAATGCAGTCAAAGTTACAATTAATGACTTGAATGAAAACTCAGTGACGTTGATTCAGGAAAACTGCCATTTAAACAAATTGAAAGTTGTGGTGGACAGTAAAGAAAAGAAAGAGAGCGATGATCATCTTGAAGAAGAAGAAGAGGAAAATCTTGGTAATATTAAAGTGACCAAAATGGATGCCAATGTACTAATGCATTTGAGATCTTTTGATTTCATGTAAGTTAAAAATTTTTGCTGTCACTTGGTAAACAAATCTGACAAAGGGCATAATATAAAAGTTTAAACAATTTGTTGTTGTTGTTTATTTAAATTAATCGACTTTTTAATCCCAGCCACTAAAGAGGCTGATGCAGGAGAATCACAAGTTCAAGTCCAGCCTGGGCAACTTGGTGAGACCCTGTCTCAAATTTGGTTAAAAAGGGTTGAGATCAAGCTGAGACATGGTGGGGGGTGCCTGTAATCCTAGCACTTGGGAAGCTGAGGAAGAGAATTGCTGAGAGTTTGAGGCCAGTCTAAACAACATGGTGAGACCTTGGCTCGGGAAATAAAAGGGGGTGGAGTTGAGACTATAGCTTAATGCTCCCTGGGGTTAATCTCCAGTACCAAAGAGAAAACAACAAAAAATTAATAGTTTTTTTCGTTGGCCTAAGAAATTAGATTGTCTGGCATTTGAAATAAAATACCTGGATTTGAAATAAAATATCTAGGCATGACCTTGTCCTGTTAGCCCCATTTATTTTTACATGCTTGACATATCATGTGACTATTTTAGTACTTACTTTATTTTTACTGTACTGGGAATAGCTGGGTGAGCTCTTCATCACTGAGCTACATTCCTGGTCCCTCATTTTATTTATTTATTTTTTGTTGTTACAGGAGATTAAACTCAGGTCCTTGTGCTTGTGAGACAGGCGGCAGAACCACTGAGCTAAATCCCTGGCCCCTCATTTTATTATTAAAAACAATTACACATTTAAAATAGATTTGCAAGGACCCAAGTTCGATCCCTAGTACCAAAAAAAAAAAAAAAAAAAGATTTGCAAACTACTTTTCAGTTCATGGTATCTTATTTAAAATTTATTATGGCAGTATAATTTTGATTTCTAATATGAGTTTAAATATGTCCATATTCTTTCTCTGATTTTAGACACCTAGACCCTTTTGGAACTTCTGTGAACTACCTAGATTCTGCATTCAGAAACATAAGAAACCTTGGCATAGTATCAGTGACTTCTACAGATATCAGTTCCTTATATGCCAAAGCACAACATGTTGCACGACGTCACTATGGATGTAACATTGTTCGAACTGAATATTATAAGGAACTGGCAGCCAGAATTGTTGTAGCTGCTGTGGCAAGGTACCAAACTGCCAACAGTGCACCTACTATGATTTGGTATATGATTAAAAGATATTACAGATGAGTGTTTATTTCATTTTGCAAAATCTGCATGAAATACGAATTGCATATCACATATCTTTGATGTTGACTTGATTTAATGTGTTCTTAGTCTGTGTTTTGTTAGAATTTTAAGTTTATACCTGAAATAGTCACCTTATTCTCCATTTTAAAATAAAGTAGTAAGCAAGGAATAAGTGACAGTTTCAGGTCTTTTGTTTTAATAAGGTGGATAGGAAGTAGCATCATAAAAAGGAAAAAATTTTTTTTAATTTTTTTGGTACAGAATCGTAAAAATTGTTTTCAGACTTAGAAACAATCACTTGTTTTATAAAACTTTCATCTTTAGTTTGAATAAAATGATAACTTATAAACTTGATTCTGCAAAATGATCATACAAAACAAGTTTCTCATCAAGATTTCTAAAGAGTTGAAAAAATGAAGACTTTTTGAGCACCTATTATGTGCAGGATGTTATGCTTGAATAATAATATAATATGTAATTGATCATGCAGGTACAGATAATAGTCACCTAGCTCATTCACTAACCCAAACACAAGTTGTACAGTATTTTGATGGAAATTACTTCTTCAGCTTAAATACAGATTGTTAGACTTCATAGACCTTCAGTGTTTTTCTGATTAACTGAAGACTCTGATGCGCACTGTGCCCATGCCCATCGTCTGCTATAAAACATTTATAGTTCAACAGCAACAAATTGCCGGGTGTGGTGGCGCACACCTGTAATCCCAGCACTCAGGAGGCTGAGGCAGGCGGATCACTGTGAGTTTGAGACAAGCCAGGTCAGTCTCAACTACATAGTGAGACCCTATCTCAAAAAAACCCCCCCAAAAAAAGTAACAAACTCAGAAATGGTACATCTAGTAGAACTTAATCCAAAAAAATCTGTAAAATTAAAGATAGAAAATACTTTTGACTATTCATTGTTCACTGAATATTACACAGGTGCTACAATATTTTACTATCAGTGTTCAATGAATGTATATTGTTTGGAAAGAAGCTTTTATAGGAAGAAATGGATAAAAAGGAAGACAGTCATGGCAAAGTGACCTCCTGAAAACCAGAGGATATAGTCTTATTAACAGTGTATCATATGTCTGGAAAAGTGAAGACCCTTTTATTTTGTGTTTTGCAGTTAATGTAAAAGTTATGGTGATAATCTTCTGAAAACAATGCTACTACTAAAAACTGAATTTTTCTTGATTTTCCATGATCTTCCCAGAGTTTACTGTCCAGGTCAATATTGTCAATATAGTATCCGACAAAGGAAAGTGATAATACTCCAAGTTAACTTTACTATTTTTCTATAGAGCTGCAGCCCGGTGTAACAAAGGCATAGAAGTACTATTTGCAGTGGCTCTAGAACATTTTGTCTTGGTGGTTGTGAGAGTTTTGAGGGGACCTACTTCAGCAGATGAAACAGCCAAAAAGATTCAGTACTTGATCCATTGCCAGTGGTGTGAAGAGAGAATTTTTCAGAAGGATGGTAATATGGTAGAAGGTAAATTCAAGTTCCTCATGACTGTATATTAAATTTATCTTTTAAGTCTCCAGTGAACAAGTTTTTACCTAATTATACATATTATTGTCCTCTGACTTTATTGATTACTGTGCTTTGTTATTTATTATACTGGATTAACTTTAGCTATAATCACCAAGATATTTGTGTGATTTTATTAAAATTATTTTCTCATTCTGTAGAATTTATACTCTCTCCCTGCCCTCTATTGAAACATTTATAAATAACTTGATTTCCACTGTCAACTGTTCTTTTTTTGCGGGCAGGGTACCGGGGATTGAACTCAGGTCTTTGCGCTTGCAAGGCAGGCCACCATGTCAGCTGTTCTTAACAATATAAGTCAGACTACCTTTTTGTCTCAGCTGCTAAAAATCAAAATAATGTTCATGTTTTTCAATGAACATAAAAAACTATCAGTTAAAAACTGTTCAGTAAACATTGATTAAACCTCTACTGTATGCAGACGTGAGGACACAAGGGGAAAGTTGTGCTTTGTGTCCTCAGAATTATTTTCTATAAGCTCTTAGGTGGTGAGGGTTGTTTTGTTTTTGTTTTGAAACAAGATCTCCCTGTGTAGTCCAAGCTGCTTTTATACTTGCTAACAACCCAGCCTGACATTGAACTCAATCAGTATCCAGCCTCAGCCTCCTGAGTGCTAAAATTATAGACATACCCTCACCACACTAATCTAGTTTTTTGTATTTTTTAAATTTTTTTAATTTTATTATTACATGTTTGTAGTTCATACAGTTTGCAGTCATCTTGGAGAGCAGTTACTCATAGATATATCTTGTTTGTTTTTTCTTTTTTCTTTACTTTTTAACCCCTTGCCCTTACCCTCCCCCTTCTCTTCCAATTTCCCTATCCCATATTTCATTCTTGTTGATATTATTAATCATGACATATCTTTACTTGTTTCCCTTGCCCTCCTCACCCCTGACACTTTTTCCCTTGGACCACTTCCCTATTGGAAGAACTCCATCTCCTTGTCCCCTTCTATCCATCCTTTATCGTTTTCTTTGTCTGTACTTTGCCTCACTCAAATGAGAGATGCCATATGGTATTTAAGCTTGTGTGTGTAGTTTATTTTACTCAACATATTTTTTTAGGTGCATCCATTTTCCTACAAATGTGTCATTCTTTATAGCCAAGTATTCCATTGTATATATACCACATTTTCTTTTTCCCATTGTCTTTGTTGTTGTTGTTAAATAATTGAATTTATTGGTACATTTTAGGGATACAGTACAGTTACATTCATCATCGGGATCTTTTGCCTCTACATGACAGGTCTTGGTTCTCATTTTGTCCCCTTGTCCCTGCCCTCCCTTCACCCCCTCCTCCCCTCCCCATTTACAAACACCCTCTTTCCATCTTTTCATTTTCTCACATTTTTTTCTTTTCCCTTATTACCCTTCCCCTACCCATCCCACCTTCCCTACACCTTTAGCCCCTTGCTTTCCATTTCACAATGTCATTTATCTCATTATCTGTTATCTGTTGATGGGTATACAAGCTGCTTCCAGGATTAATCTGTTATGAATTGTGCTGCTATAAACATTGGTTTCACTGGTATAATATTTGTATAAACATGTATCACTTGTAGTATTGCATGATGACAAGCTCCTTGGGGAAGACATCTAGCAGGAGGATTGCTGGTGGCTCATGGAATTTCTAGTTTCAGTTCTTTGAGAAATTCCCATACTGATTTCCATAATGGTTGTACTACTTTACATTCCCACCAACAATGCAGGAAAGTTCCTTTTTTACCACCGCCATCCATACCAGCATTTGTTATTGTTTGACCTCTTAATGATTGCCATTCTTTCTGGAGTAAGATAGAATCTTAGCATTGTTTTAATGTGCATTTCTGTAATGTTGAGCATTTTTTCATATATTTGTTAACCATTTGTATTTCTCCTCCTGTGAAGTGTCTGTTCTTCTCTTGCCCATTTCTTTACCGTATCTTTGATTTTAGGTGGTTTAATTTTTTTTAAGTTCTTTGTATATTCTAGATGTAGTCCTCTGTCTAAAGAGTAGCTGACAACATTTTTAGTTTTTTGTTTTTTAATACAAATTTTTAAGAGCTCTCTATATATTAGTGTTTATAAGAGTTACTTTTGTTTTGTTTTGTTTTGGTTTTGGTTTTTTGAGACAGGGTCTCACTACATAGTTGAGACTGACCTGGAGCTCACTAAGTAGCCCAGGCTGGTCTCAAACTCACAGCGATCCTCCTACCTCAGCCTCCCGAGTGCTGGAATTACAGGCGTGCACCACCATACCTGACTTCAGCCTTTATTGTTGTACTAAATTCTACATGTATTTGAATTTGTTTCTGTGTGTAACACCAAAAGAATAAAAATAAAATGACTATTCTGGGCCTTCATTAAATTTTAAAGTCCTGTTCTAGACCATTGCCCAACTTTGGAAATGAAGAATAATGCTAAAACCTCCCCAATTTCCTTGTGGTTATTTCTGGCCTCCTATTGTTCTTTAAACTGAATTAGGTTCTTCTAGCATACATTTTAGGGCTAAATATGAATAAAGTATTATAATAGAAATAGAGTAATTTTCTTTTTTGTTACAGAAAATTTGACTTAAGAAATGTTTGTATTTTGATTGGGATGCTAGTTACATGGGATTTATACCCCAATCTGCTAATCTTAAAATATAGAAGTTCTTGTTATATATGTAATTCATATATGTGATATGTGTTATATATGTAACAACTAAAAACTAGGTGGTTTTTTGTTTTTTTTTTTTTGGTACTGGGGATCAAACTTGGGGCCTTGTGCTTGTGAGGCTGGCGCCAACACCACTGAGCTACATCACTGGCCCATTAAAAACTAGTTTAGTTAGGCCTCTAATATGTGATTTGACAAGGGTAACTTTTTAACTTTAATAGCTTTTAAGGTTTAATCTTGTAATCTGCATGATTGAGATTTTAACATCCACTTTCAGATATAGACATATATATATGATTTTTTGTTGTTGTTGTACCAGGGATCAATCTCAGGACCTTGCGCTTGCAAGGCAGGCAGCAGAACCACTGAGCTAAATCCCTGGCATCAAACATATTTTTTCTTAAAAAACTTAGTACAATAGCTAGCACGTAGTAGATCCTCGGTATACAGAAGCTGCAATAAAAATAAGTACTATTTGCATTAGTCATTTCTTCTTTTATTTCTCTTTTTATCTATTTATATTTTAACAGAAAACCCATATAGACAGTTGCCATGTAACTGTCATGGAAGCATGCCTGGAAAGACAGCAATAGAACTTGGACCTCTGTGGTATGTGCCTAAGCATAACAACATATTCAGAATTGATTGATTGATTGATTAACTTTTGACTGATATGGTAAAAGGCAAGAAAACTTAGATTCAGTTTTAAGTCTAGGCAAATAATTATGACTCCTCTCTTCCTATGTTTCTGAACCTCTACTATTCTACTATTCTCCCTAGTTTATGACAAACTAAGAGACACTAGGGTGAAAGAGAGACCTGTATGAGCTACAACCTAGATGATTCATTTCTGAATGGTAAAAAGGAGACTTAAAATTGATCATTGTAGAACTAAGTCATGATTATAAAATATTAGTGGTAACTTTTTATAGAAGAATCAACTGATATAAAAGGTCTTGAGGAACTAATTTTTTAGTATATGTGCTACCGAAGCAAGCATAGAGGAATTACTTTTTGATGAGAAGGGTAAAGCTGTTTGGGTGGGATAACAGCAGATATTTAATGTATGTGTGCTTTTCCATCATTGGTAACAAGTGGTGTACTTTGTTGCTGCTACTGTTTTTATAGTAGGGGGAATCAAACTACACCACTGAAATAGACCCTGAGCCCTTTTTAATTTTTTATTTATTTTTCAGTACTAAGGATGGAACCGGGGCCTTCACACTGAACATCCCCGACCATTTTTATTTTTTTATTTTGAGACAGGGTCTTGCTAAGTTGCTGCTAAATTGCCTGTGCTGGGCTCAAACTTGGAATCTTTCTGCCTCAGTCTTCCAGTGTGGTGGGGTTGCAGGCATGTACCAGCGTGCCTCGCTAGTTACTATGTTTTCTAGTATCTTAATGTTTTTCCTTAAATTGTGTTTAATCATAATCCATACCTTAAATTTTGTTACTAGCGATTATTATAAAAATTTAAGGGGTGGGATTTAGCTCAGTGGTGCCACCACCTGCCTCTCAAGCACAAGGTCCCAAATTTGATGTCCAGTACCAAAAAAAAAAAAAAAATTTAAGATCGCTAAAAAATAAGTTTTAAAAAATTTAAGATTGCTAACAACATTGTGATATGAATCATTGTAAATTTCTCTCTCATTATTTTACAAGGTCAGGCTTAGCCATCTACTAAACTTTAAAAGTTGATAAAAATGACAAATATGTTTATGCTGATGCCCATTGTTTGTTTTACATATTTCCTTTGTAAATATAAGAATGACATAGTTAAAAAAAAGAAGAAACCAATTACATAGCCTTATCTTTCAGGACTCTCATACCTATATCATCTCCTACATAGTGATCCTACTTACTGATCTCAGAGCTAGAGAAATTAAGAATAACAGGGCCAGGGATTTAGCTCAGTGGCATAAGGTCCTGAGTTCAAACTCTGGTACCAGGGAAAAAATAAGACTAATAGATTACTGAATCAGAAGGAATATCCAGCACCCTGAGTTTACTGATGAGGAAATTAGGGTATAGTGTTTTTAAGTGCTTGTTAAACTTAACCCAAAAAGTTAGTTATTAGGGCCGGGGATTCAGCTCAGTGGTACCACCACTTGCCTTGCAAGGGCAAGGACCCAAGTTTGATCCCCAGTACCCCCCCCAAAAAAAAAACCATGAAAAGTTAGTAATTAGCCCACAGGCTAAGGCTAGAAGATTGCAAGTTCATGCCCAGCCTGTGAAAATGCAATGACTTAGAGAGACCCTGTCTACAAATAAGTAAGTCTGGATATATAGCTCAGTGCAGGGGCCCCAGGTTCAATCTCCAGTATCACAAAGGAAAAGTAAATTGCCAGTAGTTATTAGCATTTCAACAATTTCAGCTTTCTACTTCCCAGGACTAAGCTCTAAATCATGCCTTGTGTTTTCCTAAGTCAAAGCCATTATTTGGCCTTTACTCTCATCTAGAATATCTTCCCTCTCTCCCCAAATCCCTATTCAAATTGTACTTCCCTTTGAAGTCTCTCCTTAGTGCTTCAACCCATGTGGATTTTGTGGGTACAAGTAGGGGGTGGTACAGGAGATTAAGCCTAGGTTCTTCACACTGATCTACAGATAGAATCTCACTAAGTTGCTCACTAAGGATGGGTTTGACTTGCTGTCTTTCTGCCTCAGCTTCCTAGAATGCTAGCAGTACAGTAATTTTCCACCATACCTCACTTGATCATTCATTTCATACTTTAAAATTACATATCCTTTCATATATATTTTCTAACCCTGATAAGAACAACTGCCATTCATTTAAGGATACACTTTATACTAGGCATTATAAACCCCCACTAACTCAATTTAATTCCCATAACAAGTTTATGAGAAATTTTATTTTCAATTTCATATGAGGAATTCAAGACTTAAAAGCAGCAATTTCTCAAGATCACATAGTAAGTAGTAAAACCAGGATTAGAATCCAGGTTTATCTGACTTGAAATTTCATATTTTGTCAGTTATACTTATGATTCCCAAATTGGAAGTATATTATATTCACCTTCGGGCTATTTTTAAACTATACTACCACTATCCTGTGTAATCTTTTGTGTGACTCCCCCCATCACGCACGCCAATATATACACGAGAATTGAGATTTACTCTAAGCCAGGCATCATACAGCATACTTGCAATCCAAGCACTTAAGAGGCTGAGACAGGAGGATCCTGAAGGCAAGTCTGGGCTACATACCAAGTTTAAGACCAGCATGGACTTAAAAAAAAGAAGAAAAGAAATCTTAAAAAAAAAAAAAAAAAAAAATCATCCATTTCATTCCTAAAAAAAAAAAAAAGAAGACCTGCATGGACTATATAGTGAGACCCTGTCTAGGGGAGAAAAAAAAAAGATTTTCTGTTACTGACTAGAATGTGTATTGTAAAGACCTCTGCATTACATTATATTCCTGTCTAAACTTACAGGCTTTTATAGGATTAATGTTGTACTTTATAATTAAGTATATCTTAATTATACATAACCCACCAGACCATTCTCACATTTCTTAGTACTGTACTACTTACAAGAGCTCAATAAATTTTTACTAATTTAACTTGAATAAATTTCCTTGGCTAATACTACTAGTTTAAAGAACTGAAATGACAAAAGAAGTGGGAAAGGAATAAACAAGCAATGCTAAATCATAAATTATTTTTGATTCTGATATTACTCTATCCCATAATTACATGTTTTAATTGTTAAATTATGGAGACTTTTTAAATAAAAATAAACATTTCTCAGATCCAGTTCTCTATATTTTATTTTTCCCTTCAGGTCAAGTTCTCTTTTCAATACTGGGTTCCTCAAAAGAATGCTATTTGAATCTGTGCACCATGGACTGGATGACATTCAGACCCTAATAAAGACATTGATTTTTGAATCAGAGTGTACTCCTCAGAGTCAATTTTCAGATCATGCACCTTCAAATCTCAACAAACAAGGTGACTTACTGAACACTAGCTAGCTTATAAATTGGTTACCAAAAATACCACATCACTCTTATCTTTGATATTGTAATCAAAAGCAATATAATCATGTGCTTTAAATCCTGTAATAAGTCTAATCATAATTTCATTGCTACCTTTTTTTTTTTTTTTTTCGTACCAGGGGTTGAACTCAGGTCCTTGCTCTTGCGAGGCAGGCAGCAGAACCACTGAGCTAAATCCCCAGCCTTTCTGTATACCTATTTTCTAGAAAGACCTTAGAAATTTTCTAAAAAGAAAAACGTTATATAATTCTAGCAGCGGTATAGCCCAAAATGTTACTAATGTCCATTAAGACACAGTAAATAGATTATCATGTATCATTCAGTAAAGCTACATTTTTTTCTCCTCAGAACAAATAGGCTTTTGTAGTCTATAAATACAGACTCATGTAGGCTATTAATATAAGGGTGGGTGCCAGGCATGGTGGCGCATGCCTGTAATCCCAGCAACTTGGGAGCCTGAGGCAGGAGGATCACTGTGAGTTTGAGACCAGCCTGGGCTATGTAGTGAGTTCCAGGTCAGTCTCAACTATACAGTGAGACCCTGTCTCAAAAAAATAAAAAAATAAGGCTGGGTCTACTAAGCATCCTAGTCCTCTCATAAGTAATGAGAAGAAGGTGCTGTTACATAATTCTTACAGCCTGTTCTACAGAATCTGTTGTATGTTCTTGTATGAAATTCATAAACATATTTAAACTTTAAATTATTGTTTTAATGTCATCTATAAAATGTTTTTCCCATTTGTTTTTATTTTAGAAGAAAATGGTGTATCTGTTAAAACTACAGATGATACAACAGATAACATTGCACAAGGTACGTATGTATTTGGGTGTGTATACATACGTATGCGTATATTGGCATAAAACACATACAAAGAGACAGGAAGAGAGATTGCCTTGGTAGCCTTCTCAAAATATGTTTTCAACATATGCTAACAAGCAAATTAGAGTAAGATTTAACAGCATTTACACAGTTCAGCATTTCTGTTAACATGTACTTTGTTCACTTTTTGTTTTGGGTTGTTTTGTTTTATTTGAGACAGTGTCTCACTATGTAGGTAGTTCAGACTGGCCTCAAAGTCACTGTGTAGGGGCCTGGGCTTTGGCTCCATGGTTCTGGCGCCTGCCTCGCAAGCACAAAGACCCGAGTTCAATCCTCACTAACAAAAAAAAAACAAAAACAAAAAAAAGTCACTGTGTAGCCCACGCTGGCCTCGAGCTCACTGTGATCCTTCTGCCTCAGCCTCCCAAGTGCTGGGATTACAGGTGTGCGCCACCATGCCTGATTTTGTTTATATCTTTAATATGTAGTGATCCCTCCTGAAGAACTTTGTGAACTAAAATGAGATTAAATAACGTGATAAAATTGCAGCATTAAGATTAAATTTTATTCAGCAAGCTGTTGTGCATACCTGTAATCCCAGAATTTAGGCACAACAAGAGGATGGCTGGCTCAAGGCAGCCTGGTTACATGGCAAGTTCAAAGCCAGCCTGGACTACATAGTGAGACCAATTAAAAAATAAAATATAGTACAGATTAAATTTTATTCTTTTAAAATTACACATTAGTGTATGATATACAGCAATTTAATTTGATTAACCAGAATACCCTATTATATGGCCTTTTATAAATTTTAGAATATATGCATATTTTAAAATGTAGTTGTGTTAGACATTGCAGATTCATAACAAAAGGTTAAGAGTTAAAATGGCAATGCTTTAATATCTAGGGTTCATTTTGCTTTTTTAAAAAAAATAAGTTTAGATACTAAACTGAATATAAAGAGGCCAGAGAATCGCAAGCCCGAGGCCAGGTTGGCTACCTAACATGAGCCAATCTTACCAAGGAGCACAGTGGTATACACCTGTAATCCTAGCACTTGAAAGGCTGGGCAGGAGACTTGAAAGTTTAGCCTGCCAAATTTAGTGAGATGTCTTAAAATAAAACTACAAAGACCTAGGAGTGTGGCTCACAGTGCAAGGCCCTGGGTTCAGTCCTAGTACTGCCAAAAAAGAAGCCTGCTGATGCCAAATGTGTTTTGAATATAGAGAAAAATAGTCTTAAGGTAAAGAGTAGTAGTCTAGAATAACAAGCCATAATTTTATATTAGTTGCTCCATAGTTCAGTGTTGACCTTCAAAGAGAACCTAAATTCCTCTTAATATCAGATAATTTAATAAATTATGCTTTTTCTACGGTCTTCTTTATTTGGCATCTTCAACTAATTTGCTAACATTTAAATCACTTAAGGGTGGGGGATTTAACTCAGTGGTTCCACTGCCTGCCTCGCAAGCACAAGGTCCTGAGTTTGATCCCCGGTACCAAAAACAAAACTAAACTAAACTAAACTAAAGCATTTAACTCTCTTAATGAAATGATGTATTCTACTTTTTCTGTTGGAAGAATGACAAAGGTGTACTGTAAGGAACATTAGGTCTAAGTTATTATGTATAGTTAATTGTGTGACTTAGGTCCAATTTCAGCAGAATTTTCTTAAATCCTGTTTGTTTGTTTGTTTGTTTGTTTGTTTGTTTTTGGTACCGGGGATTGAACTTGGGTCTCTACACTTGGGAAGCAGGCAGCACAACCACTGAGCTAAATCCCCAGCCCTTAAATCCTTTTTAGAATAAGGTAAAACATAAATATATGCTTTTAAAATGTTGTAAATCTCTTAGTCTTTCTAACATAAATTAAGAAAATGAAACTAATCTCTGTGGGCTCTTGTTTTCTGTTTTTTATGCTTATTTGTACATGTTTGCTATATACAATGATTACACTGTGGGGAATTGATAAAGGTGCATAACACATCTTTATAAATCCTCTGTCTCTAGTTCCCCTTCCCATTTCCAGAGGATCTATCTCCCTATTTCATATTATCTTTTATTTTGTTCATTAAATTATTATTTATATTTTCTCATTTAAGAGAAACTGTGCAACATTTATGCTTGTGTCTGATTCTGCTTAATATTGTGGTCTCAAGGTACAACCATTTTCTATAAATGACTCAAATTTATCCTTCTTTATGGCTAAGTAGTGCCCTACTGTGTAATACCACATTTTTTCGGTCTGTTAATGGGTATCTGGGCAGTTTCCAAAATTTAGCTATTAGCCGGGTGTAGTGGCACATCCTGTAATCCCTGCTTTTGGGAGTCTGAGGCAGGAGGATTGCTGTGAGTTCAAGACCAGCCTGGGCTACACAGTGAGTTCCAGGTCAGTCTCAACTACATAGTGAGACCCTGTCTCAAAAACAAAATCCAAAATTTAGCTATTACAAACTATGCTGCTATAAACATGGGTGTTCTTATATTGGTATGGTATGATGCTTTTAATTTTTTCTGGAAGATACCAAGAAGAGTAGCTGGCTCAGAGGAAACTCTAGTTTTAGTTTTTTGAGGAATCTCAGCACTGATTTCCATAGTGGTTCTACTAGAGTATATTTCCACTAGCAGTGTAGAAGTGTTCCTTTTCCCCCTGCAGCTTCAGCAGTGTTTGTTACTACTTTCCTTATTGATGGTAGCCATTCTTTCTAGAGTGAGATGGAATCTTAGTGTTAATTTGCATTTCACTCATTGTTGCACATTTTTTTTCAAGAGTTTATTTCAGTTGTCTATGGCCTGTTCTATATCTCTTAAATTATATGATTATTCTGAGTCAACACAGCATAGGCCAAAAAATCAACAATCAATACCGAGTGGTATTCCATGATATATACATAACACATTTTCTTTATCCAGTCTTCTGTTGGTGGGTATATAAGCTACTTCCAAGATTTAGCTTTATGAATTTCGCTGCTGTAAACATTGGCATGCAAGTATCACTGACGGATAATGACTTAAGCTCTTTGGGGAAAATACCTACTAAGGGGATCGCTGGGTCATATGGAATTTCCATACTGATTTTAATAACGATTATACTTGTTTGCATTCCCACCAATAGTGCAGGAGAGTTCCTTTTTCACAACAGCCATCCAGTATTTGTTATTATTTGATTGCCATTTTTTTCTGGAATGTTAGTGTTGTTTTAATTTGCATTTCTGTAATGGCCAGAGACATTTAGCATTTTTTCATATATTTGTTGATCACTTGTTTTTCTTCCTCTGTCAAGTGTTGTTCATTTCTTGACTGAATTTTTAATTTTAGGTGGTTTAATTTTTTTCAATTCTTTATATATTATAGATATTAGTCCTCTGAGGAGTAGCTGGCAAATATTTTTTCGATTCTGTATGTTGTCTCTTCGCTCTACTGATTGACTCTTTTGCTATACAAAAGCTTTTCAGTCTGATATAATCCCATATGTTGTTTCTTGCTGGTATTTCTTGTGTAACTGAGGTTCTGTTTAGAAAATCCTTTCCTTGGAGCCAGGGATTTAGCTCAGTGGCACTCCACCTGCCATGCAAGTGCAAGGTCCTGAGTTTGATCCCCAGTACACAAAAGAAAAGAAAAGAAAAATCCTTTCCTACAACTATTTCTTCACATGGTTTTTTTGTTTGTTTGTTTGGTACCGGGGATAGAACTCAGGTCCTTATGCTTGTGAGGTAGGCAGCGGAACCACTGAGATAAATCCCTGGCCCTCAAGTGTTTTACCTATTTCATCTTCCAGAAAGTTTAATATTTCTGTTTTAATGTTTATATCTTTGATCCATTTTCACTTTAATTTAGTATATGGTGAGAGATAAGGATGTTCTACAAACATGTAACCAGTTTTTCCAGCAGCACTTGTTGAATAGGCTATCTTTCCTCCAGTATATGCTTTTGGCGTCTTTGTCAAAGATTAAATAGTTGAATATGTCTGAAAAGCATTCTGTATCCTCAATTCTGTTCCATTGATCCATGTGTCTGTTTTGGTTCTGGTACTGTGCCATTTGTATCACTACTGCTTTGCAATATAGCTTTGAAGTTAGATATTGCTGTGTCTCCTGCTTTGCTCTTATTGCCCACTTTTGCTATTTTGAGTCTTGATAGAAGGGAAGTTCTGACTCAGAGAACAAATATTAAAGTTTCATAAAGAGTAGTGAAAACATACAATAAATTATCTCATTTTAAGAATTAAGGTTGGATTGGGGCCAGGGATTTAGCTCAGTGGTGCCACACTGCCTGCCTTTGTAAGCGCAAGGACTGGAGTTCGATCCCCAGTATCAAAAAAAAAAAAATTAAGGTTGGATAAATAGGTTGAAGTTTTATGTCAGAGTAGTTAGATTTGAAACTATAGTTAAGGGCTGGGGATGTAGCTCAGTGGTGCTACAGCCTGCATCACAAGCATACAGTCTGAGTTCAATCCCCAGTACCAAAAAAAAAAAGAAAAAAACTATAGGTATAAGCACTTAATTATAATTTTTAAGACAGTACTAATTGTGTGTGTATTTCAGGAAAGAGAAAAAGTAGTGAAATGATTACAAATTTAATTAAGAAACAAAAGACTGACGTCATTACTGAACATCCTCCCTTCTATTATAACATCCACAGACACAGCATTAAAGGAATGAACATGCCAAAGTAAGATAGCCAGTGGATGGCAAAGTTATGTATCATATTTTAGTATCATTCTAAGTGAAATACAAACATAGTAACCTAATTTTTTTTTTCATCTTATTGCAGGTTAAAAAAGTTTTTGTGCTATCTTTCTCAAGCAGGCTTTCGAGTAAGCCGAACTCATTTTGACCCAATGGGTGTTCGTACAGATGCACCTCTGATACAGTTTAAATCGATCCTTTTGAAGTATAGCACCCCCACTTACACTGGAGGACAATCAGAAGGCCATGTCCCGTCAGTATCAGAGGATACAGTAGCTGACAGGGTTGAAATGTCAGTGAATGATAAAGCCGCAGCAAGTAGCTGCAGAAGATGGTAGATAGAGCGAAGAGTTTATTCTCAGGTGTCTCTATAGATGGCTCCATAGTTCTCTATACCACCTGTAGTTTTTTTTCTATTCTTTCAATTCAGTGGTATGAAAATAAACAGTGCTTTCATTCAGAAAATTAGCAGTTTCTAACTTAGCTGGTTTGGGAGCTTTGCAGGTTTTTCTTATTTTAAAGAAAACTAAACTTTAATGGAAGCATTTCATATGAAGCCAAGGTTCTGACTGAGATCACCCTACTATTTAGTAATCCAGTAAAAGTTCACATGCTTAGTGTTCAGAATTCGTGTACATTAGGAAGCAAGCCTTTACTATTCTTTTTTCCTTTTTTTTCTCCCTTCAGTGCTGCAGATCAAACCTGGAGCCTCATATTCTAGGCAAGTACTTTGGACTGAGCTGCGTCCTCAACCTTTTTTTTTTTTTTTTTAAGGCAGATTCTTGCTGTGTTAGCCAAGCTGGCCTGGTATTCTTAAGTAGCTGGGACTGTAGACATGTGCTTCCATGCTCATGTTATGCTTTACTATTCTTAATCATGTTTTCACTTGAAGTGACCCATGATATTTATGTTTTTCTGTGGTTAGTATACAAATGAAATCAAAGCCTTTTACAGATCGAATTAACCCTGACTATACAGAAACAGCATTCTTCCAGATCACTCATATATTTCACAAACACAAAGCTAAAATATTGTCTCATTTTTTAAGAAATCATACTCCACACACTGATCTTTTATTACTAGCTTTTGAGAAATGAAATACTTGCCTGAGACAAAAATACGTGTTTTACAAGTATGTAGTCTAGATGACCCAGCTTCAGCGCAAAATTTTTGTCAAAATACGTTAAGACCACTGCTGTAATTGCTCACAAGTACAGAAATCCCAGAGGAGAGATTTTGTTATGAATTAAACATGTTGGGTGATCTCAAGTGCCTCAGTTAATGCATGTCCAGTATTCATTTGGTTAGTTGTGCTGCCTACCACTGAGAAGTAAAAACTCATCTTACAAAGTGAAGATTTTTTGGTTTTGGAATTGGTTTTTTCCTTTGGTTGGTTTTTCAAGTTTTGTTGTGTGTGTATATTTGTGTAAATTTTTTTGTAATAGTTGTCCAGACTAACATAACTATAAAAATCAGTTAAAAAAAATATCATGTTTGCATTAATATCATTCTTGCTTCATCTGAATATACATTTTAGGTGAAAGGATTTAGTATAAAGTTTAGGTTTTTGTCTCAACGATTTACATATTTACCTGATTTCTCAAGGGAAACTTTTTACAACCATTAAGCTGTGGTACCATCATAACAAAAGGTTTGAAAATACTGCATAAGAAAAAAAAAGCTCCCATGACATATAAAAGTCTAGATGATGGGGAGGACAGTTAGATGAACACAGTGAATTTAGCAGAAATTAAGGAAAATCTGTTATTACAGCATGTGCCCCAGAGGATACTTTTCTCTCTCTCTCCAATTACATTCAGTAAAGTAAGGAATACATGAAATGCAAGTTAGTTTCTATAACTATAAAAAAAAAATTCCAGTTGTTTCCTATTAAAATTATATTACAAAAAAATAAGAAAAATTATATTACAGATGTGCACAACAGAAATAAATGTTATGGGCCGGGGATTTAGCTCAGTGGTGCCACTGCCTGCCTCACAAGCACAAGGTCCCGAATTCAATCCTGGGTACCAAAAAAAAAAAAAAAAAGATATAAATGTTATTTTTCATTTGTATAATTCAAAAGAAAAACTACTGTAAACCCAGGAAGCAAACCTAGTACTTGATTATCTGATTTGAAGTACATATTGTTACACTGAAGATCAGTGTCAAATTTTGCTAAGTATTTATCGGTGTGATATATTGGTCAATGCTGAGATAAAGTTTATGCAGAGAGCCTAATTTGATTCAGAAAGATGTAATTATTTTCTAAAGTATATATGTAGCATATTAATTTCACATATAAAGGCAGATTTTTCTAAAGAAAAAATTGGTAGGAAATAGTTTAGAACTCTATGATAAGGTACATCAACATAAAGAGAAAGTACTTTTAAAAATTTCATCTAGTTCTACATTAGCAATCTCGTTCCCCTAACAACAGTTGTAATTTGGGGCACTCCCAATGGTGACCACAATGTAAAGTGATATCACTTGTGTTCCTTCATTAAAATATCAGAAACTAGTTCAGGAAACCAGTGTTTTATTTAATACTACTATAACCATACTCTCAGGAAATGGGAGAAGTAACCAGAGAACAGGTTTGACTTGGTGATCTTTTTTTTTTTTTTTCTTTTTGGGTACCAGGGATGGAACTCGTGTCCTTCTGCTTGCAAGGCAGGTGGTAGAACCACTGAGCTAAATCCCCAGCCCTACTGACTTGGTAATCTTGAGTCAAGACCATTAACCTACCAGACTGACTTCTGCTCTGAAAAGATGTGTGATACACTGATTCCCAGAATTCATAATTAATGCAAGACCAGTTCAGTGTTCCTGAAAGGTATAGGATTCCTTTCTACATTGCATAATCACTGATAAATGGCCACAGATTACTCTGGAGGAGGCTGAAAGATAACGTAATACATATTTGTGATGTTATGTCAAGATATTATCTCAAAGGAATCAGGAATTGTGAATTAAATCATTCCTAGGAATCAAGAGAGGTTGTGTTTGAGTAGTGGCTCAAATCAATAAAAAAGTTACACAAATCAAATTGGATCATGGAGTTAGCTTATTTTGGTCCTATAGATCATTTGATCAATTAACCAAGGCCAAACCTTGCATTAGATTGCTGATTATCCCGAGTCCTGATGCCTATTATGGTAACCATGTCCACCTTTCTACTCTTATCATTGAGGTAAACTATGGACATGTGCCACGTAATGTTTCAGCAGCAGATTGCGCGTGTGATGATGGTTCCATAACATAATGGAGCTAAACAATTCCTATTGCCTGGTAATAACTTAGCTCATGTAACATAGCGCAACACGTTATGCATTTGTGCTGATGATGGTATTAACCTGTACTGCCAATCATAAAAAGGATGGCACATGCATGTAGATAAAGTGCGTAATGCTTGATAAAGATCAAAAAGAATTTAGGTATTTACTTTTATACTTTCAGTCTTTTAGCGTATACTCATTTTTTTAAGTTTACTGTAAAACAGTATACCATGCTCTGCCAGCAGCAGCTCCAATGTCTTATGTTTAGTTTCTTTGTTGCTCCGACCGCACCACACTGCATCAAGTGACTGTCCAGCACCATCGAGGTTTGTGTAACTCTATGATGTTCACACTGCCACGAAATCACCTAACTCATGTCTCAGAATATATCCCCATTGCTAAGCATAACTGTGCTTTGTCTCTGACAGTAATCTTGGTGATACCTATAGAATCAGGAAGTCCATTTTAATTGAAGCTTCTCCCACTGCCTGCCATCCCTGGCCTGTAGACATCAAAAAGCTTTTCTAGAATGCCACATGCTCTACTCACCAGTTTTTCTCAATGCAGGACATAATTAGAATATCACACATACTAAATCTTTTCCAACATTCTCTTTTCTGCCTTTGATTTCCTTCCTATCATATCAACTAATTTATAATGTATCACCTCCATTTTAGAAGAGTCGTTGCAGTCAAAATGTCTTATAATCAGAACCACTCCAGGTCACACAGGCTAACAAACCGAGCCAGAGTCTCTCTTATAGGTGACCCTTAGGTTTGTTGTTTTTTGGTACCAGGGATTGAATGAACCTGTCTTAATCTGTTTTCTGTTGCTATATCCAAGTATCACAGACTGGACAAAAAATTTTTTTGTCATTTCTTTTAATTTTTTTTTTGGTGGAGGGTACTGGGGATCAAACTCAGGACCTTACACTTATGAGGCCAGTGCGATGCCACTGTGCTAAATCCCCAGCCCTGGACTGGGTAATTTATAAAGAGTAAAATTATTGAGTTCATGGTTCTGAGGGCTGGCATCCCCAAGAAAATGGTGGTAGCATTTACTCTCCATCTGATAAGACTCTTCCTACTGCATAACACGACAGAAAGCATCACATGGCAAAATAGTAAGTGTGTCAGAGAAAGCTCACTTATAACAAAGCCACTACCTTAATCCATGAATACATTAATTCATTCATGAGAGCAGATCTCTTGTGACCCAATCTCCTCTGAAAGTTATCACCTCCAAATACCATTAACACATGATTTTGGAAATTAAGTTTCCAACATGAATTCTGGGGGACAAATATTCAAACCACAGCAGTACTCATGCTGTTTGACCCAGTTTAAGGTCATGTTTTTTCAAGGTCCTGTATACAGAGTATTTCTGCAAGTATTCTCCACACATCTGGAAAAAAAACAAACTTCCAGATCACACCATATATTTGTCCCCCTGGGACACATTGGGATATGACTCAAACTGTCTGAGAGACAATAAAGCATTGTAGACATGGTGTGTATGTAGGCTTCTTTGCAAAGGAATGCCTTTTGTAAGTATGTGTGATACTGGGGGTTGAACTCAGAGCCTTTGCATCAAACTATAATTCCCTTCCGTTTTCCTTTCCCTTCTTTCCTTCCTTTTGTGGTGCTGAGGAACACAGGGCTTTGCACATACTATGCAAGTGCTCTACCATTAAGCTACATCCTCAGCCCATTGTTTTTTATTTTGAGACAGGATCTCCCTGAGTTGCCCAGGCAGGATTGAAATTTGCAATACTCCCACCACAGCCTCTCAAGTACTGGGTTTCCAGGCATGTACCACCATGCCTGACTTCTGTTTTAAGTGAGTTGGTTAAGGAGTCATCAACCAAAACGTATAGGAGGCTTCCTTCTGCTTCAAATGAGTTAGGGATTTAGGGTACTCATTCATCCAAGTCTTTCCAAAACTTAACTGCAGTTCTCAGAATAATAGTCTTTCCTGACCAATGCCTCTACTCTCAAAAGACCAAGATAGATAAGGATTCCACCGGTTTGTAATATCCAATTGTGTTTTCTAGCCATCTCAGCATACAAGCTACAAGAGGGAATGAAAAAATGGCCAACTTCCAATTTTAGTCTCAGTAAGAAAATGGCTTTTCATCACATTCGTAAGAATTCCCCAAGCCTGGGAAGAGGTTGCAAAGTATGAACATCTAAACAAGTCAATGCCTATATTTATAAATCCTCAACATCTATAGCCATATAGTTCCCTTCTCAGCTGCTGCCCTTTCCCACTGCAAGAACCAACCCCTCTCTTATCCCAAGGATCCTTTCCTACTTCTCTGGAGAAGATAAGTGAATTACATTTAAAATGTGAGTAGATTGTATGAGCTATCCCAAAGCCACAAACTTCAACCTAGATTTTTGGTTGAGTTTTTGTTTTTTACAACTGAAGTGCACTGACAGAATTTTAGCTTAGGTAGGCCATGGAATAAAATTTACCAAGCGTCTTAGTTCTCTTGTTGCTGAGAAAAAATACCCGATACCCATAAGTTAAATGAGGAAAGGTTTTATTTCAACTCAGGTTGTAGAGGTGTCAGTCCATAGTCAGCTGGCTCCAAGGCAGGGCAGCATGGCAGTGGGACAAGCCTGAGGAGAAATAGTCCATGCTAGGGTAGGCAAGAAGCAGTAGCAGCCAGTAACCTGCCTCCCATCTTTCCTTCTTGTCCAGCCAGGATGCAAGCCTATTACTTGGTGCCACCCACACTCAGGGTGAGCCTTCCATCATTATCCACACCTAAAACAATGCAAAACCATTGTGTTCGTTATCACACACCCTTAATCCCAGGATCATACTTCTGAGATCCAGCCACCTCCAAAAACCACATCTATGAGCACGTGAGGCTTTGGAGGGACATCTAGGTACAAGCCATACAACCACACAAAACATGTAGGAGGTAGAGTATTAATTATAGTATCTTGTATATGTGAGAGACAGCACTACACGGTATATAGTTCACAATATACTTACTGTACAAAGATTGTATAACATACAGAGCAGTTTCATATATCATCCTTTTCATAGAAAAAGGAATTAAGGCTAAACCAGGTTAACTAATTTACCCAGTGCCACTCAAACTGTTTTAGCCACTTGGTAATCTACATTTATTAAA